TCCCAAATCTTCGTTTGCGAAGCCTAGCCGTAATATACCAGTGAAACAAAGTAAGTTATGTCTATACATTCTACACCTCTGAGGTGTTTATATGCCTCATAATACTGAAACTCTCCTGAAACAATTTGCCTGGACTAAACTCAAAGTAAAGTACTCTCTCCTCTCCACGTTTACCCTGTGTCATGCACAGGGTACAATGCTGAAGTAAGTGTCTTGTAGATGACTTGTATGAAGTAGAAAGAGAAATGCTTCCCAAAGTAAAAAATAGGAGGAGGGTGGGGAACCTCAGTAAGACATAAATGAACCAGATTACACAATGCTGATTATTCAGAAAGCATGAAAATTAAGTTTATTTTTTCCTATACATTTTATATTAGGATTATTCCAGTCAATGCTTTAAAAGCATATGTTAAGTGTTCAGTTACATCACAAAACTGAAATGTTTTGTTTACTCTATCTTAATTCTTTTTTACTAAAACTAAAAAAGTATATTATTCACATATCTCAAATATTTTAGTTTCTATCAAACATAACTGCACCGTTAACACGAATTTCAACTCTTACCTGCTGCAAACTGCAAAGGTGGGCAGAACACTAACAGAATACTCACCTTTAAGAAAATCGTTCAATTAACATTAAATAATCGTAAAATATTTACCAAAGAAGTGTTTTCACACATCAAACATATTGCAAATTGGGCCAAAATCTCAAAGTCTTATCTTGAAATGTCCTCCACTCGCAGCAGACACTATTCCTGAACAGAGACAAGAGACTAAAAAGAACTAAAAACATGGTCAAGTTAGAACATAATTGCCTTAATGAACGTATCTGGGAACCACCAGACAAATAATTTGTCTTTAAGGATCTACTTCACAAGATCATTTTATTGGAAAGGAAGAAATGCTGCCAGTGTTCTACCTATAGTAGCTTAGTTGCAGTACTATTTTTCATCCACCCTTAAAGAGCTTGAAAAAGAGAAAGGAGATTAAGGGAAGTAAGTCTAGAGGTAGGAATGTTGTCATTCTCCTCCAGTATCTAAAACCCCACCTCCCTTTATCTTTAGAAGATTTTTCTCATCATTCACATCCAATTCATCATGAAAATAACACAGACTTTGGGTGGAAAAGGAGGAACAAATTTGTACCTTCTACCTGTTAAGTTTCAGCAACCATTGTATTTTAGCCATTTTAGCCGTTAATTCACTCAATTAAGGAAAGGTAATTAAAAAGAAAATAGCATGTAAAATCAAACTAGTTAAGTGGAGAAGGTTTTGCTCCAGCTCTAAAATGAGCTCCCAAATCTAGATCAACTCTATCGATAAAAAGAAAGGAGAGTTTACAGACAGCTTGTATCAAATTGCTTCTGGAGGTAATCTTTGCCTTTGGGTGCACTGTAGTTACAAACTTCTGCATCTCTCTATGATGAAGTCACAAAACCATTAAAACCTTTTAGGATTCTACTCTTCTACGAAAAGCTGCAATGAAAATTCTCCTTGAAAATTCAGGTTAAGTCCACCACACTCGATGTCTCAGTTACTACATACTAGTGTGGAACAGTTGTCTGATTTTGCAGCTGAAGGTACGTGCTCTCTATCTGGAGTGGATGGACAAAAAAAACAACCAACAAAATCAGTTGGTTAACAGATAACAATGAACTTAACCCATTCATCTTCCACCAGCTGAATTTACATTAATCATGCACGTGATGAAAACATGGAAGCTATAGCAGCCCATACCAGTCACAACCATAAAATAGGAAGTCCAACTAAACTCAACCAAGAAGCTAAGAAATTTTCTGGTTTTGTCTGGGCAGAGTTATAATCTGTGTTCTGAATTTCTGATAGATTACTTGATTGTACCAGAGTGCTTGGAGACAGATAAGGAGAGACATCCCAACATACCAGCACACACAAGCTTCACTATACTTTAAAGTCCTGCAATGTCATAATTTTTTTTCACTAGGTTCCCAATTCAGCCACTATGCTTCGGAAAAGAGGCTCAGCATATAATTTTCTTTAATTCAAAGCACAGAAGAAAAATAAACATATTTTCAAGAGATACAAATCCTAAACAGTTATACAAACAACAAGAACCTTTTGTTAATTTAGCCTTGCAATATTAACTTTCTCCTCCCAGATCTTTTGTGCCATTTATTATTTGCAGCTTTCACTTATTACCACGACATAATCAGCACTTCAAAGATAGGAAAGGCTCTATTTTTCTGTGAAATGTCTAGCATATTCAATAATCAGAACATAAATTCTGCTTTCTCTGCTTCTGCTCAGCAGTCTGATAATGGAGTTACTTAGCAACAGATGAAGCAAGTGAACTGTGCTGCCTGATCCACACACATTTTACTGCAAAGTAACACTCACAAAGGCATTATTTAGCTGCTGGTTGCCTTTGCGTGGATGTATTTTTGAAGCGAAAAAACCCATTAGTGTGAGACGAGTCTACATGAAAACTCAACCATCATGTGCTATCTGTAATGCACTACACATTGAAATTAACAGAAATTGCCTGTAAGAGTCTCATGATTTTGGGCACCTCTGAAAAAGGAATAAACAAGAAAATACAAAACAGACTCTATTTGCAGTATTCACATGGAAGCTACAGCAGTTGCTTACAAGGCTGGGGAAAGAGTACTCTTTCCACAGCATACTGACAATCTGTGAATTTCAAAAACACAAAACAAGCCCTCGTAAGTCAAGAACACTCTTCTTGCCACACAATATTTTGATTTCATAGAATGAATACCTACTTATTTTGAAAACACACACACACATACACTTATTTCCCCAAACCACCTTCACCTAAAGAGTAGGAATACTAAGGGGGTTTTTTCAAAAGACAGTCTTAAAGACAAAAGTAACCCACAGAATTGGACAAATCATTTGCCAACCTTTTAAGATAACTCCATGGCATTAAACAGTTACTACTGTTTTTTATTTATTTTGGAATGTGAAAACTTTTCTTTTACCAACTGCATCAGAACTTCTACAATTTTTTTTCATTCATCGTACAAAATTACATTTTCAGCTAGATTTGAAAGTCTCTTGCCCCTGGCAAGGGGAAAGCACAGCAGTTTCTGAAGCTTTGACATGTAGTGGCATTGTTCAAGTGTTATTTTATTCTGAAGATTCAACACTCTGCAGTTGATAACAGCTTTACAACTTATTTCATGTTGTGCTGGTTTAAAGGTGAACTGGCAGGGGAAATGATCCCAACTCAAAAGAGATGGTAAGCCAGAATAACAATTTAATAAAAATAATACAATAAATGCAATTATACAGACAAACAATTGGGTTTAGCCCACAAAAACCTAGATGTATAACCAGCACCCTGGGGCACGAACAGAGTGGTGTTCGTTGGCTCCCGTGCTGAGACCCACCTGGTCCCCCTGAGTCCAAAGTAAAAGGAGAGTAAAAAAAAAAAAATTGTTGGTGCGAGTGGTGGTCACAGTCCGGTCGAGAGTGGTGGTCGCAGTCCAGTCAAGGTTCTGGTCCTCCTCTGGATCCCACGAGTAGTACCAGAAGTCCCAAGACCTCAAGATTATATACCCTCAGGTTCAGGCAGGAATGCCCAGTACCTCTCTCAGGGTGGGGAGTTCTATAATGGGTGATTGTGAGTCGTTGGTGTGAGGACAGGAACATCCTCCTATCTCACAGGCCTCTTAACACCCAGCTTATAGCCTGTGGGGCCAGGAGTGCTCTGGGCAGCTGCTGCAAATGGTCTATTGTTAACAGTTCCTGAGAAATAACATGGAGGGTGTAGAATACACAAGTTGGGTTACACCCCCACAGTGATGAACTGGTCCCAGTTGTTCTAATTAGGACACGTTTACATATCAAGATTTATGGAGCTGAATTGGGACTTTACAAAGCTAACCACTGAGATCTCAGTTTTGGTCATTATCTCCTATTTTTTCGACTTTCCACAATTCTGACCAAAACTAATAATTACCTGCCTTTTTTTTTTTTAAATACAAACCATTCTCAAATCAACTATCTTAAGCATTAGTCTATCTTTATCTATTTGAAGCCAAGTATCAAATAATTCTTGAATACAATGTATGCTGTTTTCTTACAATCACAATTTGTTTGTTCCAGTTGAACAATTTTTAAACAAAAGGTTATAACCATAACGTTAGCTGATAGTTGAAAATTCAACTGCAAGCTTGCCTACTTACTTGCAAGAAAAAACTTTAAAAAATAAAACCCAAAAAACAAAGTCGGTGTTCTACTACACCATTTAGTAGCTACTGGCTTTCTACATTAGAAACCATCATTTCAGAGGCTCTTATAACTAGGACACAAAATTGTTTTATTACTTCTCAACTTCCTTTTACTAGCACAGGCACACTGCTCTACTTTATCCTGATGAGAAAGTGGCATATTTCAAGAAAATATTATCAGAGCATATTACTTGTAATCAAGAACCCAACCTCCAAATATCTTGTAATTTAGGTAAATTTGCATTTTTTACTGTACTTGTAGAAACAAAAGAAACATTCCACATGAACTAAGCATTTTCCTCCACAAATCAGGCATCTCCCAAACAATTACTCCTGGAAGGTTATGTTGAAAACTAAAAGTTAATATGTTTAGCTTAACTTGTACTTTGGGTTGTGGGAAATAAAGAATCGGTTTTATTACAAGCAAATGAATTTAGCAAATCACTAACATAAGAGTTTTTCTTTACTAACCTATAGGGCGTATCGCGGAGCTGTAAGACGCCGGATTCAGCCTGGAACCGGTGTCAGGGAA